GACCTCTAGTACTGTCCTCACCCATCCCAAGACTACTCCTGTGCAAGCACGCTTAACTTTGGAGTTCTTGACTAATGAGCTCCCTTAATAGGAGACGCACCTTGTTGGTATGAGTAGTACTATTAATCCATTTAAATTAAATCTCAAGTATTACACATACATGAGCCGGAGTCCAGAGGCAAGTAAACAGGCCCAACAAGACAAAGAGGGCTGCCATGGCTTTTTGGACCAATACCTTCACAGGAGACTAAACAATGCTAGAAAAATATAAAGAAAATACTATTCTATGCTGAGCATAAGTATATGGAAGAAGGGATATTTATAATGAAGGAAAAGAGTGCTATTTATAGATGTTTTAAAGGTGATGCGCCGGATACCCGACCGGGTATTTGTCAAATCATATCTTTTTTACACGTTTTTGTGTTCTTCAGCACGTCTTTTTGCCCGAAGTCACTTCATACCCGACCGAATATTGGCAATACCCAACCGGGTATCAGTTATATTTTCCCAGCAGCTTCGTTTTTACTTCATACCCGACCGAGTAAAGGCCCTACCCGGCCGGGTAAGTCACCAAATCACATTGCTTGCATGATTTCTTGCTCCTTTGTAGCTTCCTTTGATCTTATAAGACATCTTACATGCTCCTTTGTTGATCTTTGATTGATTCTTGCTCAGGGTGATTCTAAAATTACTAAATTACAACAAACTAGAAAGATAAAATGATTGCACCGCAAATGTAAAATTTCCACATAAACACACCGTAAAAACTAATCAAAAGTACGTAGAAATATAAACACTCAAATATCAATGCAATCACTAGTCGGGCGGCAACCAGCTAGGGGTCGACTAGGGCGCCTAGGCATATCCTTTTGATAATCATGTAATTTCCATGTGTATGTTTGTATTTTTAATTAGTTTTGAGTGATTTTTACTTTGGAAATTACACACTTTTAGTGTAATAGTTTAGTTTGTTAAATTCTTGTAAATTGTTTAGATTAGGTTTATTCTGAGCTCAAACAGGTCTTGATCAACTCAAAGGACAGTTGGTGAACCCCAAAAGTGGAAGGAAGGTGCAAAATCAAAAGAAAAAAAGAAGATCCTGGTTTTTGGTCTATACCCGGTCGAGTATGATCTATACTCGATCGGGTATCTTGTTGAAATTTCAAATCGGATCAGATCCGAAGACAAAGGAACATGCAGGGAAGATTTTGGCCACGATCGAATGTCTATACCCAATCGGGTAGACTGACATACCCGATCGGGTATGCCCTTGAGTTTAACCCCAAATTCGGTCGAGTATAGCTCGAATATCACTTTCTACACATACTCGACCGGGTATTAAAACATACCCGATCGGGTATACCTTCACAATATAGCCAGAATCGATCGAGTATGCTTCGAAGTTGACGTTTTACACATACCCGATCGGGTACCGTGTCTATACCCGATCGGGTACCCGAGCTGCATCCCAAGGGCCTATAAATACACCCCATTTCCTTCACAATTAGATATTCAATTCCTACATACTTCTAAAATCAGTCTAGAATAGTTCTTTCTTTATATTTTCTTCATGTTTAGTCTCCAAATGAGGAGCTAAACTCTTCCATCTTGGTTTTGCTACTTTGAAGCTTAATGAATTTGTAAGTTGTGAGTTATTTTCTTTAATCTTCTTCCTTGAATATTAATTCTTCCTTTAAAATACTATTTCTGTATCAAAGTTGGGGAGTGTTACTAAGATGACAATTAGTTAACATTTTGACATTGATTATAGTAATAGTTATTTCTTCCTCTATGTTAATATTGGGGAGTGTTACTAAGATGACAACTAGTTAACATCTTGATATTAACTATGGTAGGATTCATATTCACTAATATTCTTCCTTGAGTATTAATTAACTCCTATTCATTATTTCATGTTAATATTTGAACATTACTTAAAGGATCAACTAGTTTTGTTTCATATATTAATTATAACTAGAATCAATTGATTAATACGCTTGTTTTTATTTCGGTTCGTTCAATGGTAGTAAACTTGGATTATTAATGCATGCATCTCATGGTTAATACACCAAGGGGAATTAATTATATTGATTAAACCAATAAACCGCTTGTGTTGAGGTTATCAATCTCAATCGTTTTCATCTTAAGCTTATTGCTACTATCGAATTAATATACGGCGCTTGTTCTATGTTGACTCGATAGTAAGTTTTATTAATGAACGCTTCTCATTATTAATAACTACCCTCGATGAACTGGATATACTCCTCGATTGAGTATTCGAGAGGAAGATAGTTAAAGATATAACCGGGATCAACGAACATTTCATTAAGTGGATAAAAGCAAAACCAAGTCCGCATCTCTATTATTTAAACTCATATAAGTTGTTCATCTTAGTGTTAATTAAATTAAATCAAATCAAACTCAAAACCCTCCCCCTTTCGTTACTGTTATTATAAAAGATAAATATTCCTTTACTTGGGGATACGAACCTTACTTCGTTATACTACGTATATTCGTTGTATTGTATTTATTTTGAGTGCACCTCACGACAAGTACACGTCACCTTTATATTTTTCATTTCTTATGATTCTAAAACCTATTTACTATAATTTCATAATACTTTGACAATAGAAATAGCTCATATAATCATTAAATGTACATTTCTAACAAGTTTATATACATTTGAAAATTATTTTATGATATGCGAATATCATAGTTAATATATTATAGGAATAGAATACTTATTGATCAAACTGGGTTTTAAGATAAAATGAAAATAATAAGTAGAGTGGGAACATATATAGTTCAAGCCGCGCGCCTAGTCACCGCCTAGCCTGCCTAGTGGGCCACCTAGCTAGGCGACCGCCTAACCCGCCTAGATGGTACAGTTCACCGATTTTTTTCACCTATTACCACGAAATCGGGGTACCCGACCTCCGCCTAGCGATTAGGCGGGTGCCTTGACCAGTTTTTAGAACCATGAAATCGCGGATAAATTGTGTCTTCCTCACAAAGTAGTCCCCTTAGCATCTTTATCATGTACACCTAAAGATTACCATACATAGTAAGTCATTAATCTTGCAATAACATACACACTAAAGTCAATTTTGATACACCCAAAACATAGCTTGTAAACCAATAAACCACCTGTGTTGAGGTTATCAATCTCAATCGTTTTCATCTTAAGCTTATTGCTACTATCGAATTAATATATGACGCTTGTTCTATGTTGACTCGATAGTAAGTTTTATTAATGAATGCTTCTCGTTATTAATAACTACCCTCGATGAACTGGATATACTCCTCGATTGAGTATTCGAGAGAAAGATAGTTAAAGATATAACCAGGATCAACGAACATTTCATTAAGTGGATAAAAGCAAAACCAAGTCCGCATCTCTATTATTTAAACTCATATAAGTTGTTCATCTTAGTGTTAATTAAATTAAATCAAATCAAACTCAAAACCCTCCCCCTTTCGTTACTGTTATTATAAAAGATAAATATTCCTTTACCTGGGGATACGAACCTTACTTCGTTATACTACGTATATTCGTTGTATTGTATTTATTTTGAGTGCACCTCACGACAAGTGCACGTCGCCTAGACGGTACAGTTCACCGATTTTTTTTTCACCTATTACCACGAAACCGGGGTACCCGGCCTCCGCCTAGCGATTAGGCGGGTGCCTTGGCCAATTTTTAGAACCATGAAATCGCGGATAAATTGTGTCTTCCTCACAAAGTAGTCCCCTTAGCACCTTTATCATGTACACCTAAAGATTACCATACATAGTAAGCCATTAATCTTGCAATAACATGCGCACTAAAATCAATTTTGATACACCCAAAACATAGCTTGTAACACCCATCTAATGCGACGCGGACGATTGAGTAATCCCGGCCCGACTTAGATTGTGGTGGATACTTTTTAACCTATGGACTTTTAAAAAAAATCCATAGATTTTTAAATCAATAGACTTTTATTAATGAATTCCATTGATTTTCATAAATCTATGAATTTCCTATTTATAATATTTATCAACTTTAAGGTAAAGACAAATTTAATCAAGAAGTATGTTAAATAACCTTCAATTACATGACTAAACAATTACTGATAAGCAGTTCATGTAGTAATGCAGAGTTCTACTAGAATACATCGGGCCTAAGCATCAAGTTTATTTTCGTCAGAAAATTCAAAATTAGGAAGATGACCCGCGAACTCAGTCTCATTATGATCCATGGTCATATTACACTCATTGTTACATGCGGTTTGAGCATATGTGTGAATTGTGATAGTGTAAACAAAAGACCATGAAAATCTTTGAAGAGTGTAGAAAATTAATACATTAAAAATGAATTAAAAAACCACAACGATCTATGTTTTTCAGAAGTTAACAATCTATATCTTTTATGAATTGTGATACGGATGAGAATGAACCAAAGTTTAAATACATACATCTAAACTTGTTAAGATTTTTAAAAATCTACATTCAAAATATCTTAAATTTTAAAATTCATTAACATTTACAAATTTATCACTCATTAGTCATTCATTGTACATCACACCCCTAAATTTGTGAAACACAAACACACCTGATCCGTTGGCAGCGTTAGAGATTGATTGAGGAGTGCTGCCACTGTGCCACTGCCACATCACTTATATTTCCCCAATCATAAAATATTTCCACTGCGCTCAATACCAAATAAATACACTGCCAAAACCAGTCTCTCTCATTCTATCCCCGAGAACAGAATTGAATGGACTGATCATATTTCAAGAAAAGGCATTGGCAAGAAGAAGAAATAAAATTAAAAAAGGTCAACGCTTCGAAAGACGAGTGACGTCAGAGTCAACGTCACCATCCAGCATGTCCAAACCCTACAGAATGAGGACCAACACGCCTGCCCAGTGGGCTTAACCGAATCCCACCCCTACGATCTTATTCCATTCCTTTCATATATCAGATATATACCAACTCTCCCATTATTCACTGCGTTCCTAATCTCTCTCTCTCTCCTCCCTCTCATCTAAATATCCATTTCAAGAAAACCACCATGTACACAAACAGCAATGATCATACCCATTACGGCTACTCCGCTGAGCGCTACAACGGAGGCGGCCACGTTCCATTGCCCACAATGGTGGTGGCACCCGATGCTCTCGCATCGGTTCCACTGCAGCCGCCTCCGATCGCGCCCAGCGGTAACTACGCCTCGTTGTCGCCGCTGAAGTGGGAGATTGGGTGTAGCAGCTGTGAGTACAGTAATAGCTCGGCTCCTGGGTACGGGTTGAACAATTTCCAGAGAAGCATAAGGAGCCAAAAGAAGAGGGAGGGATATTACCCTCCTGTTGTTTCTTTACCGATCGGATTTCTTGATCTGGATTCTAGTCCGGTCAGAAAGATTTTCAGCACTGGTGATTTACAGGTAGGGTGAGCATAATTATTAGTGGTTGCTTACTTGGTTTTGCGAAAAAAGTGACGTTGTAATAATAATAACAATACTATTATTAATTAATTAATACCATTAATAAAGAATCCCCGGTGAAGCAAAAAAAATCTAATTTGTAAATTTCAAAATACGATTACTATGTTTTTATTTTTTTAATATGAGTAATTAAACTTATTACTCCAAGATTGTGAAATATTATTGTTTATAGCTATTCATATTTAATAGTATTTTTATTTTGGATTTCCATTTATTCTTATTTCTTGAAATTTCCCAAACTATACTAATAGTAGCAGTAATAGCCAGCGGCCTAGTCAGGATCTAAGTTTGGGGTGGACCGATATAAAGATATTTTCAGATAAATTTTTACACATACATTTTTATACAAAAAGTATAAAAAAATAGAATGGGCATGGCCACGATTGCCCCCCTCCCCCCTCTATCTCCGCCCTGGTAATAGCAATAGTAATGATAATAGCAATACTAATAATAGTAGTAGTAATAATAATATGAATAACATATTAATAAAATTGAGTAGTAACATATTAATATGAATAACATATTAATACGTTCTGCTCAAAAAAACTCGTATAAAATAAATATCATAAATTTTAAAAGAAATAATTCTTAAGTAAATAACTCAAAACGGGAGTACTTAAAAATAGAAAAAATTCCGTTGATATTACTCTTTAAAATCTGGTGGACAAAAATATTACTTAGTAAATATTAGTGACTCTAATTAATTGTGTTCAAGTTTATATCAGAGTAATTACATGTAAGTTACTACGATATAAATTTTGAACACAATTATAGTCACTAATAGTTAGTGAGTAATATCGGTGTCCATATTTTATTATTATTAATATTTAAGGAAAAACTTTAAATATATACAAATTTCTAAAATAAAATTGAGTATGTCTTATAACTAAACTAATGACTATTTAAATAAAACTACCTACTACTTTTAAGTATCATTTAAAATTACTGTAAAAAAATTATCCTTTAGAATTTTAAAAATAGATCAGCTAAGTACGGAACAAAAGAAACTATTCTATTTTTGTAGAAAAAGTGAGTACTATATGAGGGAGTCTTGTTCCTGTCAGTAGCTCATCAGCTCGAAAAATTCTAAAGGTACACACTTTTTGGTGTACACACTTTTTACACATGTCTGTGTAAGGTTTTTTTTTATGTCTGTACAGACATAACGTATTTTAAAAATACGTTATGTCTGTATAGACATAAAAAAAACCTTACACAGACATGTGTAAAAAGTGTGTACACCAAAAGTGTGTACCCCAAGTCCAACTCCATCAGCTCATGATCGGAACTGTTTTGCGGAAAACGTTGTTTGAGATGGTCATGGAAGAATGTTTTTTGTGAAGTGTACGCGTATATTATGTCCACAAATATTCAAATTAAAATTCAATCAAAATTTAGTTAAATAATTTATTGAAAAGAACTGCGCTTTTTTTGTTTTTATATATATAAACAAGGAAAAGTTTTTCAATAATTTATTTAATTGACTTTTCGATTGAATTTTAAGCTGAAATTTTTGTTTACACAAACAACGAAGTATTTTCATTAAGATCATTTGCACAAAATTTTATCAAAAATTTCCCTGAAACCACCTCAAACGGATGTTCCGCACGACGGTTCTGGTCAAAATTGAAGCTCCTGATATGAACTGCCCTCCTATATATCACTATGAAATTTCATAGATCTGTAATCCAATATTAAAAATATTAAAATGATTTTTTCCCTGAAAGTAATTCTGAATCCACCGTTGGCTACAAAAAATTACGAGATTAGTACGGGTTTAACACGGATTTACCAATAATTTCAAGTCAAATAGCTCATGGTAAAGTGCTTTGTGAATCTCGTGTTTTTTTGTAGTGATTGCCCGTCGCGTGCCGCACTAGTGAAAAAACTAGTAAGCCTAAGAACCAAAATGGAACTAAAATGAGCTAATATAGTACGAAGTTCTTGCCAAGTGCCTTGTAGTATGATGGCATCAATGTTGATTTTTCAAAGAAGATGTCATAGATTCAAGTCTAACCCCAGAACTTTGACATTAACTAGCCAAAATACTATCTTATGTTTGAAAGAATATTCAAAAATAAAAATAAAATAAAAAAGCAAAAAAAGTACCAAGTTTACCCAAAAATTACCAAGTAATAGTATAGTAGTTGCGTAATTCTACGAACGAAAAAGAAAACGCAACCAGAGATCTAATTCTAAGAATAAACTAAATCAAATATGCTTGTTTAGTGGCTAAAGTGACCAAAACGATGCCAATTAATTAATTTACGAAAGAGAAAATTCCTTAATAGTGGGTGAAAGACTGACTGTTTGGCTGCTTTAACTCTGGTGCCTTCGGTCTAAAATATGAACCTAATTAGCTAAATAATCAAGAAACTCATCCAGAGGAATAAATAAAGAGTATGTTGAGTCAGTGGTACAAGGAATAAAGAACGGGGAAGGGAGCTCGTATCTCGACTAATCGATGATATTAGACACATTATCTAAACAAAAAGTAATTATGATATCTCTTTTTGTAGAAGGTCTTCGAATCGTGCGACTCATGCGTTTACGAGGACGAATGTGTCCATCTCAGATCATAGTTATAGTTTAGATTATATTTCTGATTGCGTTGTACATCATGTGGCAAATGATATGATTATTTAATGAGATGAGATTGTTTTCAAAAAAATAAAAGTAATATGGAGTAAACCATAAGCAGATATGGGAACAATAAGTGCGTAAAACATAAGCATTAAGCAGAGATTGTGAAACTCTGGAAGAGGGACCCGAGGGAGAGCAAGCTAAGAGAGATGTAGTATGAACTCAAATCCTATATATTGCTCGTTTAGGAGCACTCCATTTCCTTCAATGATATATGCTCTTTTTAACTTTTTTGTTTACTACTATTTTTCGATTATCATCGACTTTTCGGTTAAACAAACAAAGAGTAATTATGATATCTCTTTTGTAAAAGATCTACGAATCGTGCAGTCCATGTGCTTGCAGCTCACTTTGGTCACTTCATGATATACACATACATGAAGAACACGAAACGATCGAAAACAACATTTTTAATAGCAAAACAATTGTCCAAACTTCCAGTTACAAAAAGGATTCCATAAATTTTTTGGAAACATAATGTGTCCCGAAAGTCTCTATGCTTCACGGATCACGATGTATTCGATACACAGACCCGAATTTCAGAGGATGGAGCGGTATAATGAGAAAGAAAACTCATACCATAAATTTAGGGTTTGGGATACAAGAATATTTCATTAAGGCATTCATAAGCAAAACGTGATGACCTTTGTAACAAAATGCATAGTAAAAGCTAAGGAAACACTACAACATACTCTAGGATAGAGAATTGCAATATGGAATAACAACTACATAACAGTTTATTTGGTCTGTAATAACACTTTAATCTATATGGAATAACAAGGATATATACTTGGTTGAGAATCCTAGCTAACCTAGCTTAGCTCTAGGGAGACATCATTCGTTCACTGGCTTATTTCATGTTTTTCTTATTTGACCCTGCATATATATAAGGGTTAGTGATTAAACTCTAATTTGTTTTGTGATTATGCATTATATTGGGACTCCATTATATTATCATTACATACTGCTTTATACTCCCTCCGGTCCTAAATAAACTTCACACTTTCCTTTTTGGGTAGGTCCAAAATAAACTGCACACTTCTTCTCCCTTCCTTATTTGGCAAATTATCTACATCAAAATAGTGTCAAACAGTGTACTCTACAGTAAAGTCAAATTTATTTTCTTAATTTGTGTGAAGTCAAAGTGTGAAGTTTATTTAGGACCGGAGGGAGTATATAATGAAGTAGATGTATATATAGTGGGTGTGGAGGGTAGGGGTAATGATGGTTTGGGAATGGGCATGCAGGGAATAAAGCCCTGGGTGCAACGGCAGTATCAGTGCGGCAGCAGTCCACTAGCGAGTGAAAGCAACAGCATCATCGAAGGCATGAGCAAAGCATGCCGCTATAGTCCACAGGAGAAGAAGGAACGCATTCAGAGATACCGTACCAAAAGAAACCTACGAAACTTTTCCAAGAAGATCAAGGTATGTACCTACTCTACATATATATACACATGTCCATACATATATGTGTGTACAATAATTCTCTTCCCAAATATCAACATTGTGGGGAGAAGTGTTGTTTGTCTTGCAATTTTCGCTTGTGTCTGCTACTAGTCGTGTAACCTTACGCATTTACGGATTTTGGTTCTGTAGTTAATTAATACCCGAGTATGTCCATATCAAGGACTTTTTCATCTGCACATACACTTTTTGGTGAAAATGTAGGGGGGTGGGGTGTCATCAGCGTCAAGTTTTTTACGGAGAAACCTAGTTTAGTGTGAAAAATTTATTAGTTATATGATCAAATCTACCATTGATTACAGTTAAAAGACTACAAGCGGATGTAGTCACAAGTTACTAGGTGAATCTAGAATTTTCTCTAACATTGTGCATCTAGGACCACATGATTTGTCTTGATTTTTTGAACTACATTTTGACCGAGCACACTTGAATATCATGTTGATTTATGATTCTTACATTTGGGTTGAACTTTGGTCTTATCCAGTGTTATTTGTATTTTACGTTGGTAGTATTGTTTTTCTAAGTTTGACCCAATATGTTATTTTTAAATATGATCAAATCTTGTCTGGTGTGGTCTATTTAAGCTCGGTCACATCTGTTCGGTGATACAGCCACTCAAATCAAGAGCTAATAAAGAGCTAGCTAGTATACTCCGTATTAGATTGTGGAGTACTCTTCATATAAAGTTAAGTTTTAGACTTAGTATCATGGTAAGACATATGTGTACCTATTTGCCTCTCAAATCACATAATCAATGGAGAATCGTCTGTTCTTAGAGGTTTTGATCACCGTTTACCAGAACCAAAATTCATTGTTCCAGAAGGTTGAATCCCCAACCCCAAAGCCCCCACACTCTGACCTGACATGATTTTTGGGAGAAACAACAGAACCAAAATTCATAATGCACGGAGTGTAGTTTTTTGACAAACAAATAAGCCATATCCAATTGATTCACACCATAAAAACAGTTCCTCCGGGCATATAACACACCTAACGTATTTGGGTTTCTTTTTACTTCTCTATTCTCTTTGGCCGGCCAATATCTATAGGTGCACTATTTGTTTCAAAAAGATATCCCGCAAATTTCTCAAATGTAATGTTTTAGTCCTATAAATTTATTAACGGGTATTAGCCCTTTAAATAGGAGTAAAATAAGTCCAAAATTCAACATTAGGAGTACAATCCTTTTATTCACAAAATAGGACTCATATATATATATATCTCTTCTTCTCATTCTACCCTCTTCCTATAATTTCCAATAAATTTATTTTATTAATAAGAAAATCATAGTTTTATTTATAAAAAATATAAAAAATAATAAAATATTTATAAAATAATAATGAAAACGTGAAAAAATAAAATAAAAAAATAAAAAATAAAAAATAAATTATTTAAATTTTTTTAAAAAAGTATAAAAAATAAACTAAAATACCTAAAAAATATTTTTAAAAAAGTACGTCACTGCCAACGCACCATCTACCTACCAGAACCACCCACTCCGGTCACCGTAAAAAATACCATCTTGTATAAAAAATGCCACATTTCTCTGAAAATGTCATAAAGATGACATTTTTACTCTTTGAAAATATCCAGCTTTCTCTTGCTTTCTATTCAAAATTTTCATCATGATGACATTTTTTCCCCAACTTGGCAATCTTTTCCGGCGACCGGAGGTGGCGGTGCTGGAAGGTGGCTGAGGTGGTGGTTGAGGTCTATATTTTTTTATTTATTTTTTACAATTTTTTTTATATTTTATAATGATTGTTTAAAAATCCTATTATTATGGACAAAGGAAAGGGTAGAATATGAAGAGTTAGTCCTATTTTGGGAATTTAAACTTTAAACTCCTATTGTTGCAATTATCCTTTTATTTATTCCTATTTAGGTAAATATCCCTTAAATTGCTCCCATGTTTGACACCGTAAGCCACGTTCTCAGTACATTTAGTGAGAAAATTCCCTAAATGTGAGTAAAACAGTTTTGAAATTCCAAAATAGGACTATCATGTTTTTATCCCTTGAATAGAAGTAATTTCTGTCGAGTTGACACTACTAGGCTTTAAACATGAATTTTTTTCCGACCATGACAGAATTACTCCTAGTTAGTATTGTCGCAAAATGATAATATGACAACAACGTGTATAACAAACAAAAGCATGGCATATACGTAGTATAACTTTGACCACATTCTGTTTTTTAGTCTCCTACCTAGCTAGCTTACACCATATCTAGGGTTAGTCCCGTACGTAGTTTAGACATCGATCGAGTTTGAATCCTATCAAATTGAATGTTATCATTTACTCCCATAACTTAAATAACTAATTACAAATTGTGCTTTGATTAAAGAATAACTTATCCAAAGAAATTTTACGTATTTTGAATCAAGAGATAATCTCAACTTAAGGTGAATTTACGGAAAGGTTTTCAATCAAATAAATTGAATATTCAATCAAGAACTAAGTCCAAAGATTTTCAGCTTCAGAAATTGTATTTTCAATAAAGAACTAATTAAGTTCAACTTGAGGTACATTCAACATATTTTTGCATGGATGAGAAAAAATGAGAAGAAACGTTGTGTGCGTGGATGAGAAAAATAAAGCAACATATATAGAGGCTGTTTGGTAAATCAGCCAACTTTTTCAGCAAACACGTAATTTTTGCTTTCGCGCACTGAATTGTGTAATAAGCAGAAAAAGTAAGGTTGGAGTTACTTTTCTGGCTGTATTGGTTGAAGTTACTGTAGATGACCATTTTAGCTATTTTTACATTGATTTCCATGAAAACAAGGAGTCTAATTGTTCAATTATTTTACGTAAATAGTGAATATGTTTTGTTTTTAAAATGAAGGCCATAAATAATGTTTTTTCCTTAAATTCATTTTTTTTTTGCCAAAGATTTCATTTTTTTTTTCTTGCAAAAAAAGATTTTTTTTGTTTCTATAGCATGAGTTTAGTTAAATAGTGAATATGTTCTGTTTTTAATATGAAGGCCATAAAAAAAATTAATAATACCTTTTTTGCCAAAGAAATCGGTTTTTACCAAAAAAATTATACTCCCTTCGATTCGAAAAGAAGTACCACTTTCAAACATTTCTTTTTATCTACATCAAAACAGTGTCAAACGGTGTTCAAACAGTGTCAAACAGTGTTCAAACAGTGCCAAACAGTGCCAAACAGTAAGGTCAAATTTATTTTCTTAAAATGTGTGAAGTCAAATGTGGAACTTGTTTATGAATCAGAGGGAGTATATTTTTTTTGAAAAAAATGATTGTTTTGTTTCAATAGCAGTGCTTTATGTTGCGATGTAACTCATGTTATAGAAAATGTAACTCACTTTGATCAAAAATCAAACTTAGATGTATGCAAAATGTAACTTGGTAAGGTAAGTCTAAATGCATCTCGCGTATAGAAAAATGTAACTCACGCATAAAAAGATGTAACTCGCGTATAAGAAGATGTAACTCCATATATTATCAAATGTAAACAATAAAAACAAGGAGTCTAATTGCTTAAATTATTTACATAAATAGTTAATATGTTTTGTTTTTGTATTATGTCCATAAAAATGTTTCAAAGAAAAATATTTTTTTTTTTGCCAAAAATATTCATTTTTTGCCGAAAATCATTTTTTTTCAAAAACAAAAAAATCATTTCTGTTTGCAAAAAATTGATTTTTTGGTTTCAATAACTGCAGTTTATTTTGTGATGTAACTCGTGTTGATGAAAAATCTAAATTAGGTGTATGCAAAATATAACTTGTTGGGGCAAATCTAAATGTAACTCGCGCATAAGAAGATGTAACTCATGCACAACAAGATGTAACTCGCCTATAAGAAGATGTAACTTCATATACATAATTCACACATATGAAAAATGTAACATAATTTCATGTTTTATGAAATTTAAATAGAAAAAATCAAATTTAATGTCTTAAAAACATTAAAAACATATCAAAGAGATAAGAAATACTACGTATATTTTTTTACAAAGAGATAAGAAATATATTATAGAAAAAAAATTATGAACACGAAATATAAAAAATATTAAAGAGAAAATATATTCTATTGTAATTTCAGTTGAAGATAAAAAAAGTAGAAAAAATGTATGATTATGAAATGTGGATTAATAAAAGTTTGTAATAATTTGATAGAGAAAAATATAAATTCAATTATGTTTAATTACTTAAAGATAAAGATAAGTAAACTCACAAATAAATTTTTAGTATTTTTATGTAAAGGAGAAAAGAATTGAAGAAAATAGAAAAGAAAAATAAAGAGAAAGAAACTAGTAACCTGGAGCAAAAAGAGAGAAAACTTACGTAATACAGAGTACTCCGTATTAGATTGTTGGGAGAGTGGGAAGACAAAAACGGTACCGTATGGCCGGGATCGGCACACCATGCGCGTGGTGGGCCGATCCCACGGTATAATTTGTCATTCGGTTGGGTTGTTTGAATGTTTATTTGTTTGTACGGAAGTCATGAGTCATGGTTGGAATATATGGAATATTTTTATTTGGAAAGTTTTCACTTTCAGACCATATCAGACCAGACCAGATTGGATAGTTATAAAATGCACAGAGACTAGACGTTTATCAGACCATACCAGAAGTTCCCAAGATCAGACCAGACTAGTTCAGATCATACCATATCAGACCAAACCGAATCAGAAAATTTCAGTACAAGAAAAAACATCCATAATCGTCCGTTTAAAGTCATTTGGCTAATTTGCCTATTATTGAAGTGATTGTCTCATATCAACTAAGTATTAGCTAGGAATGAATCCATATATATGACACTTGATTACTTCTTGCAATAGTTTAATCTTTTAGATGAAATCAGAATCATAACATGTAAAGCTAGCTAGCTAGAAAATTAATAATGAGTGTAGACAATAAGAGTTATGTGACTAGTATTTCAAAATTATTTTTTGAAGGTAATTGAATTGAATACTAACTCATACTCCAATCCGTATTTAACTAAGTTTGATTTTGTGCACACTTTGTAAGTTTAGTGAGGGGCGCAATATTTGATAAGGGTAGTTTATCCCTCTAGAGTTTTTAGGGGGTTTGATTTTGCGTTCCATATTTTGGATAATATTAGACATTGGTGCACTCCATTTTCAAAATTATTTGTGTGCATTACTGCACTTCATCAGTTTAAAACTTCTGACCAAATTGGATGTAATGTCAAATGATATTATAATGAAATCGGATGCACACATTAATGATTTTAAAAATGAGTTGAAAAGTTTAATGTACCCAAAAATGGTTGCAAAGTCAAAATTTATCTAAATAATAGTGATAGAAAAGTGCAAAACAGTGTTAAGAATGTCAAAATAATGTACTTTACGGTCAAATCTATCTTCCGATAAAAGGGACATTTCAAGAAATCAGGGGAAAAAATACTACCTCTGTCCCGTTGAAAGTTCCCATGACAAAATGGCACGGTAATTTAGATAATAATTAAGTAATGTAGTTTGAGTATATTTTAAGAAATAATTTTAATCGGTATATAATATAATGAGATTAGTGTTGATAATTGTGATGTTATAAATGTATAAATGTATTTTTTTAGTATTTAACAACTAATTTATCATTTAGGATTGTTAATTGTTTCTAAAATGAAAATGAGAACCTTTATAGGTTACATCTATCACTTTAATACGCATGCAATTTAAAGTTAGATCTTTATTACTTTCCATTTCGAGCAACTTTATGAAATAATGACCTATATAGTTTTTCGAATGTGAGCTTTTATATGCCAGTAACTGTATTACTAATCAATATATATATAAGAGGAACCTTTTAAGAGCATACAAAGTGTCACATAATCTTGTCATGTCATCCATCATATATAATAATTAATTAGTTTTTTTTATACTTTGTACCTTTTATTTTTATTGGATTCTATTTTTGATTGTATATTGATATGGAAACAAATGACTGTATGATAAAAATCCACTTTATTTGGTAACTTTTTCAAAACTTATTATGTATTCGTATTTGATAATTATTAAATTCAGTAATTGGAATCACAACAATTAATATCCAACCGTACATATAGACAACATTTTATACGGAGTACTTTTTATAAGCATGGAGTAATTTTTTTATTTTTTTTTAGTTTTTAATTTTTATTACATTCTATTGAAGAAATGAAGTATCCGTGTTTTGCCCACTTAACGGATAAATCGGTTCCTTAAATAAACAGATAAATCAGCAGAATCGCTATTAATTTTATCTTCAAAATTATTTTATAAAAATAAAAAATGTAACAACAGTGTCCAATTTCTGTTTTATTTTTCTAAATTCAATGTTGAGATCATGATTAAAATTATACGCCCCAGATTTGCAAATATGCAAGATTTGGTATTTTTCTCCATGTTCATACAATTCTTTTAAATATTAACATAATAATGAAAATTATAACCACCAGATTATTGAAATTAAAAACAAAATTAATACTATTACACATTCAAATATAGAATCATTTAAACAGAATACTTCTGATCAAGCAGCTTACCTTTATTTAATAAGGATCAAAATTGATATCACACACATACACTCACAAGGAAATACGTTTAGCCTAGTCAAAAAAGTAAATGTGTTTGGTTGTTTCTTTATTTTTACAACTAGATTCTGTCACTTTTGAAATAGATCGATTCCTAATCTAAATTAGGAAATCTTTATATGTTTACAAATTCCTAATTTTGTTTATACTCTTAAGATGTTTTTAATTAGATTGATTTCAGTCTCAGACTAAATCAGATTAGATCAAACTTTAATAATAATTGGACACATAAAATGTAAAACAGATATCTACCAGATCATATTACTTTAGATCACATCAAACCCGAAAATTTTAATTCAATTAAAAACGTCCTTATTAATGACGTTTTCAATGTGACGAAATAATAAGTAAAGTTTAAGATCTTACTATTAAAAGTATGTACTCCATATTTCATACCAAATTGAATGAGAAATATTAAAAAAAAAATTGAGGTGCATACTAAAGTAATTTAGAGGACGTGAAAATAATTAAGAAGCTTCTCTATGAATTCTTTAAAATCGGGTTCATAACAATTATACTTAGTTGAGAAGCTTATGTAGAAAACCATTTAAACTATTTTTCATATAATTTTTATTTATTTAAAAAATGTAATATAATATTAATATTTTTTTTCATGATTAAGGAGATTCACTTATTCAACCTATTCAACTAGAATTTCAGCAAAATAAACCGATTCTACCAAAATTAGGATTATCAAACGGACTCTATATTTAGACTGAGTTTATTTTGCTTTTGCGTCATATTATAAGATAAATTACCACTAAAGTATATATAGTGGTTAAAATTGGAGCTTTTACTATTGTATTATAATGATCATGAAGTTATATTTATTATCAAATTTTTTCATAATTTTATTACTCCCTCCGTATCAAATTAACTGACCCGCTTTCCTTTTCGCGACGTATCAAATTAAAAGTCCCATTTCTATTTTTAGACATGGACCCCACCACCTTTTAACTTCCCATTATTACATTTTTACATTTTACATTTTTTCTCCACTTATCCCATTATTCCTCCCCATTTAATCCCCATCCCACCCAACCATAAATCCCTATCCGCCCCACCTTCCCCATTAAATCAGCCATTATCAACCTCCCTCACCCCCCATTTCTCGAAGTATCCGTCTCTCCCTCTCTCTCTTGTTCAAACCTTCTCTCTGTTTCTCCGGTTTTTCTGGTTTCTCTCTATCTCTCCGTTGGTCTGAGTTATTGCCTCTTCGGTTGTCCATCTGGTTTATCTCGACCGCCAAACCCCTCCTCACAGCCCTCCTCTCCGTTCCTAATCTGTTGTCTGCCACCTTATTTCTGAGAGGCGCATGTCATCTACGAATCCACCATTGTTCTTGGCTCCAAACTCGTCACTCTCTCTTCTATTTATAGAAGTGCGAATATTTTGAAACTAATCTGGCTCCAAATCTAAAAAGTTGGCGCCATTATGCTGGCATTTTTTCCATTTACGAGTTGCTACAGTGTTTTCTTTTTCTGGGTGTGCGAACTGCCAACAGGGCCGAATGTATGGCCTTTACGCTTTGCTACTGTGCTTAATGTATATGGGATCCGGTTGTTTATACTCCTTTTGTAAAGTATTTCTCAACTTTTAATCATCTACAGTGTTTCTTACTTTCTTCTTACTTTATCTAAAGTACAACTACAATTTTTCCTAAACTACTACATAAGCCTAGTGGGTCAATTAATTTGATAGAGGGAGTAATAAATTTTAGGAAAAATCTTCAACTTTATTCTCCGCACTCGTTCATTTTTGTTACATTTCTTCTTTTCTTTCACTGTCCTAAGGGCGTCAAATATCAAGTACACCATTTCTTTACAAAGTACTTTAGGTATGTAAGACTGAACACACATAGAGTCCTCAACTAGACATGTATACTATCATTGTAAAAATTATGACCTTCTAAAGTATCATCATCTCCTTCTCTTCCATCATCCAAATCATGAATTTCTAAATCCAATCTTGGATGGTTCATCTTCATTTGTAATTGAGGCATCCAAATCATGCATTCACTTCTCCATCCTCTCTAACATCATCTTTCATAACATTATCTACTTTGCCTTCTTTCATATTTCATGTTTTAAATTATCCATGCCAAAAATAAGTCCACACATTGTTTTCTACATTAAATTACTCCTTCTCCTTATGTGGACCTAATTAAATACATATTTAAAGACAACAAGTACTTAACTATTTTATTGGGATTGAAAGCATGGGTGTCTGCCCCGTAGGATCCCAACTGGATGCATTTCTGAAGGTCTAAAATTCTAAAAAAAACGTTATGTGTATTGCAGTACGAGTGCAGAAAAACCTTGGCGGATAGCAGGCCGCGCATTCGGGGAAGGTTTGCTAGGAACGATAATGAGGACGAAGATGAGGAAGAAGATGAGACGTCATCATGTGAGAAGAATGGGACAACAACGCCCCATCAAAGTGAATGGAATCTGATTCTTCAGGCTGCTGCTGGTTCATTAGAGGCGGAATTAGATACTATCATTGATGATGAAACTTGGATCAATCTTCAATTATTCGATAATGACAATTTCAATTGCCAGCAAATCTAAATTGTTAGTTATATGGACGTACTCCATATAAGATACACTACACAGATCGATGACATTGTTTGTTCTATGCTGAATTGGTTTGTTCCGCTAGTGATTTGCTCTCATAAATTGATGATTATTTGCTTCATTATATCAATCAAACTTTGACTTTTTTAGTATACGGAGTCAGGATGGAGACAAGGAGGGGCTACACCGTTTTAGGGATGGACCCAACCGGTTCGGCCTGGCCCGAAATCAGCCCGACCCGCTACTGTGCGGGTCGGGTTGGGCCGAACCGCTACAGACGGTTCGGCCTTTAAAAAAATCATAATGTACAAGATATATTATGTATAAGTATTCGCAATCTCTAAAAATATGTTGATATTTTAAACTTTAACTCTTGTAATGTAAAATTTTCAAACCTCAACCCCCTTAACCATGGAATTCTTGCTCTGATGCGGTATGGAGTATATATGAAAGTGAATAAGAAGGAAAAGTGAAAGTAATGAATACATTTATTTGTCCAATTAAAAAAGATCTAATTACAATACATGTACAAAAAATTATACTACCTCCGTCCCAAATTGTTTACAAATTTGATTTTCTTCGTCAAATAGTTTCATTTTATTTACTTATTTAGGATGTCAATTTTTAATTATATTCTAATTTGAAGTTTGCAATTTTAAATAGATTTCAATGTAGTTTCTGAATATGTAACTTTAAATTATTAAAAATTGAATTAATTATCAATAAGGATGATTTAACTTTAACGCTGGTTGATAGAAAGATGTTGACATTGCAAAATAATTTAAGACTGGTTGATATGTTTATTTCAATTTCTCTTTCATATGAAGACGTGCTTCGTCATTCAATTCCTTTTTAAGTAAATATTCATCATTGAAAAGTACACTTTCTAGAAGAAAGAAAACATGGACCAAAGATTTTTTCTAATTGGGTTCCCTTCATTATTCCTCCATGTTTTAAAAACATGGACCAAAGATTTTTTCTAATTGGGCTTCGTCATTCAATTTCTCTTAAAAGTTCACACACAATCAATTTCTTTTAAAAGTTCACACACGTTACTTTGACTACGATTTTCTAATAATATATATAATCAATCTTCCAAAAAAATAATATATATAATCAAACTATTATGTATAAAACATTATTAAATTTTTGTTAATGTAAATTTTTAAAATATTAACTTTTTTAATGTTTACTAATATGTAATTAAATATAATTAAACTCAAAGTTGTGTGTTGGCAAACGTGAAAGTCAAAATGTTGCAACTTTTAAAGAACGGACGATAGTAAATATTATTGAACAGACCGGAATATACATTTTTTGGAAAATTATGAATAATTTCATAAGTCCATAAAATGGACACATTTATGAATTACAAGACCAAAGATGTTTTTAATCGCATAGAAATTTTCTAGTGTGGTATGATCTAATCTGTTTGAATTTGATCCAATTTGAACAGACTAATCTGATAAATGTTTAGTTTATATGTATTTTACAACAATCGAAGTCTAATCTCATCTGCTCTCGGATTGAAGCCAATAGAAATAAGAATATCTCGTATTTGTACGTGGATAAATTACATACCAGCTAGGAATCAATAATAGAAATAATTGAAAGCTAGAGGATTAAAATTCTAAATCTCTTAATGCATTACATGTGCATTATTAGTAACACAACATCATGCACTAATTAAATTAAAACTAATTCTATATTAGTTATTCTATGTTATCATCACAATATAATGCAAAAACCGTTAAAATCTGAGATTTCATCCTAAAAGGTCAACTTGATAGAATGAGTAGCTCAAAGTTATATGTAGTGTTTTATTGTTTTATAGTTTTCCGGTATGGGACAAATACTTTAACACGCCGTCTTAGCCCCAAACAGGCTGGACAATATTGGGGTATACAAATGAGCCAAACAGGCCCTTAACAGGCTACCTTTAATCATGAGTGCTAAACAAGCAGTCAGACCATAACCAGACTTGGCTCTGATCTCATGTTAAGGCCTGAGATTTCATTCTAAAATGTCAACCTTATAGGAGAAGTAGCTCAAAGTCTGATATATTATTTTATTGTTTTATAGTTTTCCAGTGTGGGACAAATACTTTAACAAACATGTTCAGAAAACAGTGAAACTACTTCATTGAAACTTTCACTTTTTATTCCAATGCAAAAAAATACCCCTATATTATACTCTACACCAAAATTCATAACTTCAGGTGTGCTTGATCATAAAAGGCTAACATAGCATCAAGCACATATTCTTATGTAAAGTGCACTATTAAGACAATCACCATGGTGTATTAGTGCAAAAAACATTTTACACTCTTCTAATGAATGTTTTATTTTTTAATTGGACTTATTTACAAGATTTAAAATAGTGGTAAAATATTTCAAAAGAATAGGCATTACTTTGTAAAAGCATGCTCGAGCTACAAATTGAGATTTTTTATATTTAAAGTTCGTTTAATAACCTCTATTTTCAGCTTATATGTCTTATCAATCATTTTTTAAACGAAACACGTAATATTTTATTTTGCATGCTGAATTGTGTCATAATCAAAATAATATAAGGTTAAGGTTATTTTTCTGGTTGAAATGGCTGAAGTTGTTGTAGATGACTATTTTAGCTATTTTCATGTAATTTTTTTATTTCATTAATAAAGTACTCCGTATATTTTAAATATGACTTTTCGAAAATTTACAAGATTTAGTCGATTCAATCCGCTTCAACCAGAATTTCATCAATTCTAGCCGATTCAGTCAATTTTAATTTTACAAAATAAGCTCCTAGATTAATACGAATAGTGGCATTGAATGTGATACGATTTTAAAAATTAGACTTCTATTAAGTAATGTATTGATGAATGTTAAAAAACAGTCATTGGACACTAATACTAGTGTAGAAATTATAGATATATGGGCATATATAGGTTTTTAAATAATTAGTCAGACCAGACTTATAGGTTGTTGTGATCGAGTTCAAATAAATTTAAGTATTGAAGCATCAATAATGCTTTATGTACACGACATTTGTATACGACATTTTACACGCGGATCAAATTGTTACACGAGATATGGTTTCGGATGAAATGGCATCTAGAATTTGGTGACAGACGTGATTAGCGTTCCGGCATATGCGGAGAATAATAGACGTGATGCATTTAAGCTAGCTGGACGGTGATTGAAGCCAAAGTGTGATTAAATTTTACGTATGGTTTTTCCACAGCCCACAGATCCATCGTAATTGTGTTCAGCACACTCACAATTCTTCCCACTAACGCACAATCATTATCCAACATTTCACTCTACAGGATCCAAGAATTGGATCTATTTTAATTTCCTGAAGGAATTTAAGACAAGCACTTATTAATTCAATCAACACAACAACAAAATATAGTTCAAATGAAACAAAATTATGTGATCAAGAAAGGTGAAGAACTTTAATTTTTTCATTTTTTCAACAATCATCCCACACAAGCTATTCCACCACTCCCTATTTACAGCAATAGGAATTGATGCTTGCGAGAAGCTACTTGTTATGAGTTTTTCCCATTGTTGGGGAGTGAGGTGGATAACTTAAGAGGTATGGTGGGTTGAAGTTTAGGACAACTTAATTTCTACGTCCAAAAGGTTGAATCCCCAACCCCAAGGGCCCCCCCACCCCGACCCGACAGGATGGTGGGGGAGTAAATCACGGTGACTCAGTCGGCAAAGCGGAAGTAGGCCTTTACCCGTGCGCACCAGAGGGTCAGCCTTATTTCAGGTTCTGAAAACCCCCCTTTTGGCCGTTGCGGGATTCGAACCTTGGTCTACGTCCAATTTTTCCCACCGCTCGACCAACTGAGCTACCCGTGCGGGTGGACAACTTAATTTCTTTTTAGCTTTTCAGTGTATTTTTTCGTTTTGAATTTTCCCTGACACATTAATGTTTAAACCTAATATAATTACTTTTAAATCATCACCCTGATGTTTTTGAGATAAAGTTGAGAGGCAACTTTTCAACAAAATACTTTTCAACAATACTTACACATATCAATTCAGATAAGACTAGTCCCTAGATAAGATCAAGCCAGATCATTTCACGCTTGAAAATTTGTATGCAAGTGAAAACATTTTTAATGCTTTGAGAATTAAATGCTGAATTGCAAACTTCATAATGGATATATTTTTGATGGTGCCAATTAAATCCACACGCTATTATCGTGTTATGATATACTCGTAATAATAATGATAATTTCACATGTCATCATGTTATGTACAGTCAGTGGAGGACCTAAGGAGGCTAGATGGGGCACGTCGAGCCCGAAAATTCACTAGTACCACTTAAGGTGAAAATCAGTGTCTCCTCTTCAAGCTTGAAGTTTTTATTATAAACTAAACTTAGTGTCTAGTATGTCCCTGCTCTAGGACCAGTTCTGGGGGCAAGATCGCAAGAGGACGACCGCCCTAGGCCCGAAAAAAATAGAAGAAAAAATAGGTCCAAATTTTTTTCTTTATATATAGTGTGAATAGGTTTCTTTTTTATTCTTAAGTTCAATTAATTAGGCCTAATGATTAATTTTGTTGACAATTTGAAAATTTAAAACATAAATAAAGAGTCTTAAAGAGAGACAAGTTTAAAACAGAATATATACATTAATTTTTAGCAGGATCAGTTGTAGTTTTTAAAAGCAATACAATTGTTGCTGCATAAATAAAAGACATGTCTCTCTAGTTCTCACATCTTTTTAGCTTTTAAGGTTTTTTATTCAATTTAGTTAAACCATAACAAATTTATATAATTACTTTAGAGTTTGTTTCTCTCAAATTTCACTCCAATTATCCATTTGTTTTCAAATTTCAATAAGCTATATTTGAGTTCCTAATAATAGTTATAGAGAACGTCAAATTTGCAATCTTCTTGCTCGAGTTCTCTTGGCAGTCAAACATTTTGTCTATTTGAAAACCCTCATTCTTTTGAGACTTCAAACTTTAAAATCTCATCAGCGGTCAATAAATCATTCTCAACTTTAATAGTGGTAATATTTCTTTTCATTTATCCTTTCAAAAGAAAGTTTAGTGTTGTTATATATGGCAATTTCATTGTCTGTCACACTTATTAGTGGAAAGAAGGTTGCCTATGAAACAATTATTAATGATTTGCTTC